TATATATATATTGTAAAAATTAAAGCAAGCTTTGCACTTTACACTTCTCTGCTAGGTTCAGCAGAGGCCAACCTTGTTTTGAATTTAGCAGCCTGACCAGAGACTATACCATGCCTAGACCTATCAGAAAGCAGCCAGACAGACTCTAGCTTATTGGCAGAAAGCAAGGGCAGCCCGAGGTAACATCGCCATTTATATATATATATATATATATAGAACATATATCTTCAATTTAATCACACATGCAGCCAATATAATTGACAGTACCAGTTTAAACTGATAGATTAGGTCAGATTAACCCGATCACAAAAATAGGTATTTAATATTGAATTAAATATTTAAGTGTAAGTAATTAACTACTGAACTAGTTAAGAATTATATATTGACTTTAATTTTATATTTGGATTTAATTTTTGATAGAGTTACTTTTTGTTTCTTCATAATTATATATGAATCTCAATTCTACTGAGATATCAACAATGATATCAGTGTTGGAATATTAATTACCATCAAATATGAAACATCTCGGATCTACGAAGACATTGGCTTCTATGAAAGTATGCTCGAAAACAATTCTGCAGGTGAAAGATTTTGGGCAAGTTCTCGAATTATTGGTGACATGACATGAACAGGTAATGTTGGTGAAACTGTATATTTATTTTTTATGTCCAACTTTAGGGGTACATTATCAAAGAGTTAATCTCTGTAAAACCTAAATTAACGGGGGGAAAGAGACTTTCAACAGAAAGTTCTGATCTTAGCCTCTTCCCGGGACACAACGTGACTATTAACTCCATTGCTTTCCTGGTGATTGTCCCCTTTTCTTTCCTTCCTTCTTCCTTCCTTTGCTTTCTCTCTTCGGTTCATTAGGTGATTTGCTCCTTTAATCATTAAGTTTTGTCTCCAAATGACAATTTTATTTTGCCTTTGGGGTTTAGCCAGTGATGAAAGGAATGATGACCACGATTCTTCATCAACAGACAAATCAAAATTTGACAGATGGTTTTGTTGTTGTTGCTTTGTTTTTTCGGGGTGGAAGGGTGGGATCCAATGGAAAAAGTTGGAGGAGCAAAATTACTTGTGATTAATCATAATTTTCTATGAGAAAAAGAGAGGGTGAACAGGAGCAAAATAATGTATCAAGGTATCTGTAAAGTGCAAAGGCTGCTTAAGGCAAATCTTTGACCTGATATGCTACTCTTTACACGAACAAAAAATAACAATAATAATTTGATTTCGATTGTGTTAAGACCCAAAGAACATTATAAAATAATTTGGGTGGCTAAGACATCTATGATTAGTGTCAATAAATAAATGGTGGATAAAAGATTCATGACCAGGTGCTAAATAAGAGCAATCCATCTTTGCAATGAAAACCCCAAAAAATCAAAGAAGAAAATGATGAGAGATCCCCACCTTTTGGGATATAATTATTTGTCCCTTTTCAAAGCATAATACTATATACATATATATATATATATATTTTCATGATATCTTGGGAGTCCAGATAAACCTCAAATGAGTCAAAATGGCATCATTTCCAGTTTTGTGCTCTTTTTCTTTGTTTCTTTTGCCTAATGAGTGGAAGCTTAATTAAGAAGCCACATGCACTTTTGGGTTTTAATCAATGCTATAATCACGATTTAACTCCATTCAGAAGAAAAATAGATGCTTTGTGTTACACTTCACATTAATTTGTGTATGATATTATTCGTTTTGATTTATTAAATTTTATGATATTATAATAAAAAAAACACCTCGTAAATTAAAAATGATTTTAATATTTTAACACTCAGTTACAGTCTAATATACAATTCATTTAAGATTCACGATTCTATTTTAAGACTGTGACATATGTCATAAGTAGTTTTTTTTTACAAACATAGAGTATTGATTATCGTGTAGAATTAACTCATTAGGAATGGTACATGTATACATACATGTATATATATATATATATAAATGGAAAAACAAGTGATAATCAAGTTAATTCGTTTGGAAAGTTTGAAAATTTTGACCGTCCATGAACAATCCGACTGAGGTTAATTTGTTGCTACAGGTGTGGGAAATGAAGGCAAAATGCAGACAAAGACATATGAGTATCTAAGTATCAATGGAGGTTTTGTATATGCAGCACGTAAGCAAAAAGGCAATGGCCCCCACCCCCCACGTTCAAACCTTGAAGCTGGAGAAGTTTGTGGCCACAAACACGAAACTGGAATTTGCCAGGAGGAGGTGGAGAAAGTGCGTAGAGGAAGAAGGGGTGTAGAGGGAGAGAAAGAGGGGCGGATGAAGACAATTCGTCAACAAAGGACAGAGAAGTTGACCGTGATTCATGGTGATTTGACTGTACACTGCCCCTTTCCTGGT